CAAACTCCTGACCTCAGGTGATCCACCCACCTCGGCCTCCCAAAGTTCTGGGAACTACAGGCATGAGCCACTGTGCCCGGCCCCATTTGACTTTTTTTTTGGAGACCAAAAAAAAAAAAAAAAAAAAATAGATAACTATGTTATCCAGGCTTCAGTGCAATGGCAAGATCATAGTTCGCTGCACCCTTACACTCTTGGGCTCAAGCAATCCTCCCACCTCAGCCTACCAAGTAGCTGGCACCACAGGCATGTACCACCACGCCCAACTAATTTTTTCTTTATTTTGTAGAGATGGGGTCTCACTATGCTACCCAGGCTGGTCTCAAACTCCCAGCCTCAAGCAATCCTCCCACCTAGGCCTCCCAAAATGCTGGGACTACAGGTGTGAGCCATTGTGCTGGCCTGACATTTTTGTTTGTTTGTTTGTTTTTGTTTTATAGAGATGGGCCATACTGGCCAAGCTGGTCTCGAACTCCTGACCTCATGATCCATCTGACTTGGCCTCCCAAAGTGCTGGGATTGCAGGCATAATTCACCCTGCTCAGTCATAAATATATCGTTTTTAATGTTTTGATTGCCTATATAATTACGTTGTGGTCAGAGAATGTGGTCTGTGTGATATTGATCATTTGGTATTTACTGAAGCTTGTTTTGTGGCTAAGTGGTCAATTTTGATAAGTGTCCCGTGTGTGCTTGAAAAGAATACATACTTTCTAATTGTTGGGTGCATGGTTCTAAGTAAGTTCAATAGATATAGGTAGTTAATTAATTATATTGTTCAAATCTTCTACGTCTGGCCAAGTGCAGTGTCCACACCTGTAATCCCAGTGCCTCGGGAGACTGAGGCAGGAGGATTGCTCAAGGCCAAGCAAGACCACCCTGCGCAACACAGGGAGAGTCTGTCTCTACAAAAAAATCAAAAATTCGGGCTGATCATGTTGATTCATGCCTGTAACCCCTGCACTTTGGGAAGCCAAGGTGGGTGGATCTCCTGAGGTCAAGAGTTGGAGACCCAGCCTGGCAAACATGGTAAAACCCTGTCTCTACTGAAAAAAAAAAATACAAAAATTAGCCAGTCGTGGTGGTGCACACTTGTAGTTACAGCTACTCAGGGGGCTAAGGCAGGAGGATTGAGGCAGAGGTTAGAGTGAGCCAAGATCACACCACTGCACTCTAGCCTGAGTAATACAGTAAGACTCCATCTCAGCTGGGCACGGTGGCTCACGCCTATAATCCAAGCACTTTGGAAGCCAAGGCAGGCGGATCACCTGAGATCGGGAGTTCAAGACCAGCCTGACCAACATGGTGAAACCCCATCTTTAAAAAAAAAAAAAAAAAAAAAAAGACTCCATCTCAAAACAAAAAAAAAAAGTTGGGGCCAGGTACGGTGGCCCACTCCCATAATCCCAGATTGAGAGGCTGAGGCAGGCAGATCACTTGAGGTAAAGAGTTTGAGAGAAGCCTAGCCAACATGGTGAAACCGCATCTCTATTAAAAATAGGAAAATTAGTTCGGTGTCCTGTTGCATGCCTGTAGACCCAGCTACTCAGGAGGCTGAGGCATGAGAATCACTTGAACCCAGGAGGTAGAGGTTGCAGTGAGCTGAGATCACGCCACTGCACTCCAGCCTGGGTGACCAAGCAAGACTCTGTCTTTTAATTAATTAATTAATTAATTAGTCTGGCAGGCCGGGTGCAGTGGCTCACGCTTGTAATCCAAGGCCGGGGCAGGAGGATCATCTGAGGTCAGGCGTTCAAGAGCAGCCTGGGCAACACAGTGAAACCTAATCTCTACTAAAAATACAAAAATCAGCCGGGTGTGGTGGGATTTGCCTATAATCCCAGCTACTCTGCAGGCTGAGGCAGGAGAACTGCTTGAACCCTCGAGGCCTCAGGTTGCAGCGAGCAGAGGTCATGCCATTGCACTCCAGCTGGGCAACAGGAGCTAAACTCCACCTCAAAAAGAAAAAAAAAATTAGTCTGGCATGGTGGCACATACCTGTAGTCCCCGCTACTTGGGAGGCAGAGGTGGTAGGATTACTTGAGCCCTAGAAGATTGAGGCTATAGTGAGCTATGATGGCACCACTGCACCACGGCACTCCAGCCTGGAAGTGAGACTGAGACCCTGTCTCAAAAAAAAAAAAAAAAAAAAAAAGGCCAGGCACAGTGGCTCACGCTTGTAATCCCAGCACTTTGGGAGGCCAAGGCGGGCGGATCACGAGATCAGAAGTTCGAGCCCAGCCTGACCGACGTGGTGAAACCCCGTCTCTATTAAAAAATACAAAAATTAGCCAGGTGTGGTGGTACATGCCTGTAATCCCAGCTACTCGGGAGGCTGAGGAGGGAGAATTGCTTGAACTGGGAGACTGAGGCTGCAGTGAGCTGAGATCGTGCCACTGCACTCCAGCCTGGGCAACAGACAACAGAGCAGAACTCCATCTCAAAAAAAAATTAAAAAGGCTGGGTGCAGTGGCTGACGCCTGTAATCCCAGCACTTTGGGAGGCCGAGGCGGGTGGATCACGAGGTCAAGAGATCGAGACCATCCTGGTCAACATGGTGAAACCCCGTCTCTACTAAAAATACAAAAAAAATTAGCTGGGCATGTTGGCACGTGCCTGTAATCCCAGCTACTCAGGAGGCTGAGGCAGGAGAATTGCCTGAACCCAGGAGGCGGAGGTTGCGGTGAGCTGAGATCGCGCCATTGCACTCCAGCCTGGGTAACAAGAGCGAAACTCTGTCAAAAAAAAAAAAAAAGAGAGATCGAGACCATCCTGGTCAACATGGTGAAACCCCGACTCTACTAAAAATACAAAAATTGGAGAATTGCCTGAACCCAGGAGGCGGAGGTTGTGGTGAGCCAAGATCGTGCCATTGCACTCCAGCCTGGGTAACAAGAGTGAAACTCCGTCTCAAAAAAAAAAAAAAAGAAAAGAAAAAAGAAAATAATATAATAATAATAATCATAGCCAGGCGCCATGGCTCACGCCTGTAATCTCAACACTTTGGAAGTCCAGCGTGGGTGCATCACAAGGTCAGGAGTTCAAGATAAGCCTGGCCAATATGGTGAAACCCCAAGTCTACTAAAAATACAAAAATTAGCTAGTGTGGTGGTGGGCACCTGTAGTCCCAGCTACTCAGGAGGCTGAGGCAGGAGAATCGCTTGAACCCGGAAGGCAGAGGTTGAGCTGAGCCAACATCGCGTCACTGCACTCCAGCCTGGGCAACAAAGCAAGAAAAATAAATAAAAATATATAAAATAAAATTTAAAAATATAAAAAATATATATAATAAAAATCATAAATAATAAAATATTCTTCAGGGACACGATTTTATTTCATGCTTTATTTCTGCTTATATCATCAAGTAAAAAGATCATAACTTGTTTCACCTTTTACTGTTGGTGGAACATTTATTCGTTTCCAATTTTGACAAATTCTGCAAATACACATCTTTTTAAAAGAATCTTTGCTTTTTTTTTTTTTTTTCCGTTTTATTTTTCTTGTTTTGAGATGGAGTCTTGTTCTGTCACCCAGGCTGGAGTACAGTGGCACAATCTGGGCTCACTGCAACCTCCATCTCCCAGGTTCAAGCAATTCTCCTGCCTCAGACTCCAGAGTAGCTGGGATTACAGGCATGTGCCATCATGCCCAGCTAATTTTTTGTATTTTTGGTAGAGACAGGGGTTTCGCCATGTTGGCCAGGCTGGTCTCGAACTCCTCACCTTGTGATCCACCCACCTTGGCCACTCAAATGCTGGAATTACAGGTGTGAGCCGCCGCCCTCAGCCCGAATCTTTGCATTTCTGATTCTTCAAAATAAATTCCTAGAAGTGATATTACTGGGTGAAAGTGGATGGAGAGCTTAAAGGCTCTCAATTACTCAAGAATTACTGGGTCAAAGAGGATGGCCCATTCACAGCCGTTTAATAAAAATAAATATTGCCAAACTGCTTTCAAGGAAGGTTTTCTAATTCATCCTCTCACCAGCAATATAGGAGAGCATGCAGCTCACATTCATAAAAAGAACTCTGCTCTTTTGAGCAGTAGGAGGTGGTGTGTTTAAATTTCTATTTCTTTGATTAGGAAGGCTGACTGACATTCGTTTCTGCAATTCGTATTTCTTCCTTAGTGAATTGCCTGTTCCTATCCTTTGCTCGTTTTTCTATAGGGATATTTCATCCTTTCAGTGCTGTTTTTACAAAATAAACAATTACCCCGTCTTCACCCCCTCCCCCCCAGGCGAAGTCTTGCTCTGTCGCCCAGGCTGGAGGGCAGTGGCGCGACAACCTCCGCCTCCCGGGTTCAGGTGATTCTCCTGCCTCTGCCTCCCGAATAGTTGGGATTACAGGCATGAGCCACCATGGCCGGCTAATTTTTCTATTCTTAGCAGAGACGGGGTTTCACCATGTTGGCCAGGCTGGTCTTGAACTCGTAATCTACCTGCCTCGGCCTCCCAAAATGCTGGGATTACAGGCATAAGCCACCGCGTCTGGCCCAACAAATTTTTAAAAAAGCCATCTGCCCCTCGTTTAAATATATATATATAATTTAAGTTTGTTTTTTTTTTTTGAGACAGAGTCTCGCTCTGTCGCCAGGTGCCAGGCTGGAGTGCAGTGGCGTGATCTCGGCTCACTGCAACCTCCACCTCCCGGGTTCAAGCACTTCTCCTGCCTCAGCCTCCCAAGCAGCTGGGACCAGAGGTGCGCGCCACCACGCCCAGCTAATTTTTGTATATTTTAGTAGAGACGGGGTTTCACCATGTTGGCCAGGATGGTCTCGATCTCTTGACCTCGTGATCTGCCCACCTCGGCCTCCCAAAGTGTTGGGATTACAGGCAGGAGCCACCGAGCCCTGACAAAATTTAAAAATTTTTTTTAAAAATGAAAAGAAAGTCCATAAGCCCCTACTTTAAAATATATTTAAAATTTTTTTTTATTTTAAACAAATAAAAAAGTCCATGACTGCTGGACACTGGCAGAGGCCCACAAAAGCGCGCTCACCGCCTGGGGACTTTCCACTCGGCCTTTATATTCCATGGCGAAAGCGGAGTTTCGCAAACCGCCACAGTGGGAATTACTGCAAAGGCTTCGGCTCTCTCGGCCTCGAATGTCTCGCGGGAATGTCCTTGGTGGGGACCCGCTGGTACAACTACAAATCCCAATATGCAACGCGCCCCGTGGCCCGGGCGCCCGAATGAAGGCTCAGGGCCAAAGTCATGTGTCTGGCTGCGTCACACGTCGCGTCATCTCTCCCACGCCCTTTTCTTCAGTTTCCACCTTGGTCGCCATCTTGTGCGCGAGGTTATGGAACCTCTGAGTCCCGGCAACTCTATGGTCGAGCGTTTCAGGGATGGACCAATCGTAATCCAGATCTCGTAGGAAAGCCCCGCCTCTATCCGCATGGAGGCGGGAATTGCCACGAAGCTCCTGTGGAGAGAGAGGAAGAAGCTGCGGAAAGCCAATATGAGTGGAGGAATTGATGACGCAAACCAATGAGGATGCGGGGATATTACGGCCAATGAGAATGAAGGAAGCCCAGGACACGTGGGTGGGGGAAGCTGAGCGCTGAGACCTAGGGCTAAAGCTGGGAGGTGAGTCTGTCACCTTGAGCCGGGCGAGCGCTGTGGGCCGAGCAGGGGCTGCAGGGCAGTGGGAGTGCAGGTGACTTGGGGCCGGGAGTCAGCGATCGGCAGGGTTGTGGGCTGGGCAATGTGGAGGTGTATTTCCCCCCTGTGCTGGGAGAGGCGATGGCAGTCTATACATGGCCTTATCAATTAATATTAGTTACCAACGGTAATGAACGATTAACTGCCTCGGCTGGGGCAGGTCGAGGACAGCTGTGTAAGATGGGCAGGACCTTGCGCGACACATGCCCAGTGTCCACCTCCAGTCTTCCCGGGAGACCATTCCCTTTCGCAACATTTCCCTCCTGGGGCTTGGGCCTCTTTCCTTACTTCCGATCTCCAGGACTTTTCCTTGAAAACCCGCTGTTCTGTCCCTCTGACCTCTGATGCCCTCTTCAGCTGGGGCATGGTGCAAGGAAGAGCGTGGTCTAGGGAGGACGGGCGGGGGTGAAGAGGACGACCAAAGGTCGTCACTGTAAGCCAAAAACCAGGCCGTCAATGGGATTATTATTACTTTTTCCCCCCTCTGCAGACTGAAAAAATGCAGACCACCAGGGCATTACTCATTTCTCCGGCTCTGGTAAGCTGCCGCGCCGCCGTGCTCTGTAGTACCAGGTGTGAGGTGTGGGCGCCATCCGCAGTTCTTAATGAATGAACCGAGAGGAGCTTGGCGTCCTGATGTTATAGGCTGGTTGAAGAGGCTGTAGAATATGACTGACGGTAACCCGTTTACCTGGGCCTGTGAACCAAGCTATCTTGGCTTTGGAATGTGGTCAGAGATCCTGGATTTGATCTTTATCCCCAGTCTGGATTGACCATAGAGACAGCCCACTAAAACAGTGGTTATCAACGGTGGCTGCGCGTCAGAATTATTCAGGGAGCTTTTAAAAATCTAGACTGCATCTTAGACCATTTACATCAGACTTTGGGAACTGGGGTGGAACCCAGACATCTGTATTTTTTAGACTTCTTCAGATGATTCTGTTGTGCAGCCAAGTTTGAGAACCACCGAACTAAAAATTATTTCAAAAAAGCCATGTTACAGATGGCTCTCCTTGGATGGCTATTCCATTCGGTTTCCAGGGCTGAGTGGCCCACCCCATTTAGGGTGTGTAGGAGTGAGTGTATTTTAGCAGAATAAAATTTCCCCCATCTGATTACTTGGTGATCTGGGTATAAACCCTTCCTGTATCTGCTTTGGTATTAGTGTGGGTACTTGTTCCATTCTGGGAAACCAGTTAAGGCTGTGCCCAAAGAAAGTGAACTTTGGTATGGTTTTGAATGGTGAAGGCTGCCACTGCTGACTACATCAGGCTGTCAAGGGAGCTGTCTCTGGGGCAGGCCTATCCAATAGAAACAGGGATAAATTGACTTCTACATTGAACTTACTCTGTTTATAAAATCTGTAGTTTTTTTTTTTTTTTTTTTTTTTTTTTACAGCTCAGCAATTAGGACTTTTTTTCCTTGACTGATTTGGTAGGATGTGGCTTTCTGATTTTACAGATCCGCTGTTGTACCAGGGGTCTAATCAGGCCTGTGTCTGCCTCCTTCTTGAATGGCCCAGAGAATTCATCTAAACAGGTAAAGAAGGAATGACCCTCTTAGGAATGTTCCCAAGGCCCAGTGTGGTGGCTTACACCTGTAATCACAGCTCTTTGAGAGCCTGGGGCAAGAGGATCACTTGCGCCCAGGAGTTCGAGACCAGCCTAGGCAACACAGTAAGACCCCATATCTACAAAAAAAAATTTTTAATTAACCAAGCATGTGGCATGTGCCTGTAGTCCCAGCTACTCAGGGGCTGAGATGAAAGGATTACTTAATCCCAGAGGTCGAGACTGCAGTGAGCTGTGACTGTATCACTGCACTCCAGGCTGGGTGACAGAGCAAGACCCTGACTCAAAAAAACCCATTAATTAATTTATTTAATTTTTTTTTTTTAAGACGGAGTTTCACCATGTTGGTCAGGCTGGTCTTGAACTCCCGACCTCAGGTGGTCCGCCCGCCTTGGCCTCCAAAGTGCTTGGATTACAGGCGTGAGCCACCATGCCCGGCCAATTTATTAATTTTTTTTTTAAATCAAGGAATGTCGCCAGACAGGGGTCCTTCAGGTTAAGTTGCTTTTAGACCAAAGTGGGAGGAGAGTTGGAGAATCTGTGTGCTTTAATAGTTCTAAGTCCCCCAAGGTAAGCCTTATAGGTTAGAAACTTCTAAAAGTGAAGTCTGTCTAACTCATGAAATTTTTCTAGTCCTGTCTGACAACAGACCCTAAGACTAGTTCCCAGCATACTCTGCAATCAGAGTATTCTGCATTTACCAGGCAGTTTGCCAACAGTTTCAGAGCTCAGGTGGGTGGGGTGAGGGAGGTGGAGTCAGCCACCTTTCCTTATGCCACGCTATCTTTATGCTATCTCTTCTGCCTTGCTTCTCTTTCTAGCCTTCCTACAGCAGCTCCCCACTCCAGGTGGCCCGACGGGAGTTCCAGACCAGTGTTGTCTCCCGGGACATTGACACAGCAGCCAAGTTTATTGGTGCTGGGGCAGCCACAGTTGGTGTGGCTGGTTCAGGGGCTGGCATTGGAACGGTGTTTGGCAGCTTGATCATTGGCTATGCCAGGTAAGTTTGGGCGGCCTTAGAGCATCTCCCACTGTAAATTCCACCCTGTCTGGGGAAGCCTCAGCTGGAGGAGCTCCCTTCAGGAGCCTTAAGGTTGACTTCATCTACATCATAGTTTCTCCAGAGAACACATGTGTCCAGCCTGGCTCACTTAAACTTACCAGCTTGGTCCCCTCTGCTTGTCCATCCAAATCCCCAGGATATGTGCAGGGTAGGCCCTCTCAGCTGTAGCACTCCCATTCACCTCATCCTCCTGTGTCCTCCCCTGCCCTCACCCTGCCTCTCCCTGAACTGGCAATGATCTCTGTCCCTGGCAGGAACCCGTCTCTCAAGCAGCAGCTCTTCTCCTACGCCATTCTGGGCTTTGCCCTGTCTGAGGCCATGGGGCTCTTCTGTTTGATGGTCGCCTTCCTCATCCTCTTCGCCATGTGAGGCTCTGTGGGGTCCCCTGCCTGTCCCTGCTGCAGCGACTCCATACCATTCCTGGTGCTGGGGTGTGCTAAGCTTTACCATTAAACAGAATGTTTCTCTAAACCCATGGCTGTGCCTCTGTCCTTTGACCTTTAGGAGGGCCTTTGTAGAAGGGTGAGGAGAGGGAATTTGGTCAGCCACTGGTGATTGGGACCCCTCAGGGCTGAGAAGTAGCACTCCCATGATTATAAGAATATGGGGAATCCCAGCCCTTTGGGAGGCTGAGGCGGGTGGATCGCGAGGTCGAGAGATCGAGACCATCCTGGTCAACATGGTGAAACCCCGTCTCTACTAAAAAAAATACAAAAAACTAGCTGGGCATGGTGGCACATGCCTGTAATCCCGGCTACTCAGGAGGCTGAGGCAGGAGAATTGCCTGAACCCAGGAGGTGGAGGTTGCGGTGAGCCGAGATCGCGCCATTGCACTCCAGCCTGGGTAACAAGACTGAAACTCCATCTCAAAAAAAAAAAAAAAAAAGAATATGGGGGCCAGGCGTGGTGGCTCACGCCTATAATCCCAGCACTTTGGGAGGCCGAGGTGGGTGGATCATGAGGTTAAGAGATCGAGACCATCCTAGTCAACAAGGTGAAACCCCATCTCTACTAAAAATACAAAAATTAGCTGGGCATGGTGGCACGCGCCTGTAGTCCCAGCTACTCGGGAGGCTGAGGTAGGAGAATTGCTTGAACTCAGGAGGCGGAGGTTGCGATGAGCCGAGATCGCGCCGTTGCACTCCAGCCTGGGTAACGAGCGAAACTCCCAGGACGGGTTTGCCTGAGTAATGAGATTTTTGGTTTTTTCTCTTCAAATTTAGTACAGTTGACCCTCTGTATCCGTAGATTCCATATTTGTGGATTCAACCAACAGTAGACAGAAAATATTCAGGAAAAAAAAGTGAATGGTTGTATGTGTACTGGACATGTATAGCCTTTTTTTTTCTTTTCATTATTCCCCAAACAATACATTTTAACAATTATTTATATAGCATTTACCTTGTATTAGGTATTATAAGTAATCTAGAGATGACTTAAAGTATATGAGAGGATGTGCATAGGTTATATGCAAAATATCATACCATTTTATATAAGGAACTTGAGCATCTGTGGATTTTGGTATCCACTGGGGTCCTGGAGCCAATTTGCAACAGATACCAAAGAACAACTGTATATTAATAGGTTACACTTTTGAAGGGCTTAATTTGCACCAAGGATTTTACAATGTTATCTCAACCACCCTGAGTTATAAGCACAACTTTAAGCCTGTTTTGCAAATGACAGACCCAGGGTTTGGGGAAGCAAAATAACTTACCCGGTATCACAGAGCTGGTAAGTGGCAGACTGGGGACTTTCCCCCCCAGGCCAGCTTAAACCTTACCTGCAGTGCTGTCCCATCTGTTTTTTTCTTTTTTCTTTTTTATCCCATCTAATTTCATTCTGGTCACACAACAATTCAGGTGGCGCAGAAAGTCACAAAGAACTTGTACAGCAGGTTAAAGGGTTAAAGGTAGAGGTAGGTTTCTATTTGCCTGTGTTTAGCCCCAGTTATATGGGTTTCATTTTCACTATCAATTAGCTTTTCTCAGAGATAAATGTCCTTAAATAAAGCAGATAAAGTACACAATTCTGGTTCTTGGAGAAGTAATAATCTTAGTTTTGCTAGGGATAAGAGTATTTGGGGGCATGTGCCGACTAATGAATTCCTTGGAGAACTTTGTGCAGCATCTTCCTTGGGTTCTCAAAGTCTGTGCCCACCAGTCTTGCCCCTCTTGGCTAAAGTGGGACTGATAACCCATGTAAAACATAGTTAAGTTGACATATCAACAGTTGCTCTTCTCTAAGCCCTTGCAGGAGCTAGCCATGGACAGAGAAATCATGCAGGGATGCTGGGAACGTGGTCTGTCTCAAATTGGATGGCTTCATGGCCGGGCGCGGTGGCTCAAGCCTGTAATCCCAGCACTTTGGGAGGCCGAGGCGGGTGGATCACGAGGTCGAGAGATCGAGACCAACCATGGTCAACATGGTGAAACCCCGTCTCTACTAAAAATACAAAAAATTAGCTGGGCATGGTGGCGCGTGCCTATAATCCCAGCTACTCAGGAGGCTGAGGCAGGAGAATTGCCTGAACCCAGGAGGCGGAGGTTGCGGTGAGCCGAGATCGCGCCATTGCACTCCAGCCTGGGTAACAAGAGCGAAACTCCGTCTCAAAAAAAAAAAAAAAAAAAAAGAATTGTTTCAAATTGGATGGCTTCAAAAGGAGTACTAACTTAAAAGTGGGATCCATCCTGTGAAAACCTCATACCTCAACCGTAAAATGTGAAATAGTGAAACCAAGAACATATCTGGTTGGTGTTTTTTAATGAAAGGGTTAAAACATACAGAAAATTTGGATTCTATTTACATGCAATTTAAAGACAGCCATATAGGTATTTAACCATCTTCCTAGGGACCTTAGGGGAAGCAAAGAAATCTAATTCTAACATCCTTGCTCTGAAGGAGTTTGAGGCACCAACAGAGTAGAAATAAGTACACCATGCCCTATATCATTGTATATGTGTGTACATGAGCTCTGTGCTATAGAAGTTCCAAGAGGAAAAAGGAGGCTGGTGTGAGCTCTAAGAATGTGGGCTAACATTTGAGCACCTGTGTGTCACACACAGTGCTAAGCACTTCCCATGATTAACTTCCAACATCCCTACAGAATAAGTCAGTTTACAGGTAAGTAAGCAAATGAAGAGGCTCAGAGAGAGGAGGCATTATTCTGCCTAAAGTTAAAACAGCTGGTTAGTAAAGCTGGGCTTCAAAGTCCAGAACCTGTGTTCTTAGCTTTATGCTGACTGATATCAGGTTTGCACAAGCGCGGTGACTTGCCCAAGGTCACAGAGGACGTCAGTGACACCAATCCCAGTCTGTCTGACATTTATACAATCATGGCCTTTCTACCCCAGGATTTCTTAACCTTGGCATATTTGGGGCCAGATAATTCACTGTTGTGGAGGGGCTTCCTTGCGTAGTGAATGTTTATAATCCCTAACCTCAACCTTTTCAATGCCAGTAGCAACTGACATCCCCACCTAAGTCGTGACAGCAAATTGCCAAATGTCAAGAATATTGACAAATGCCCCCTGGCTGCGGGGCAAAATCATGCCCAGTTGAGAGCTACTGGTCTACCGCAATCTGCTGCTTGTCCTCAGCCTTCTCACCTTAAGTAATTCCCTCAAGGTTGCCCACAGCAAGGCAGTGACAGAACCTGAAAAGCAGTGCCAAGGAATCTCACAGCCAAAGAGGAAATGGAGCTGAGGTTGAACTGGTGACTGATGTATCGCCAAGGGAGCAATGGATTAACTGGTCATGCTGTTAAACAAACAGAACGGCACACTCCCTGGGGATGCCATGCTGGCTTCCTACCAGGTCACTGCCCTCCAATAGTAATCAAGAAGCAAGCCCCCAAGGAATGTGTTTGCCCTATCTTTCCTGTGAAATTCCAGGAATCTAGTTTTTGCCAAGAGGCTGGTAAGAATTTCCTGCTCTTTGGTCTCGGCTACAGAGGCAAGATGACAAAGGGAATGTCATTGTTTGGCAAGCCTTGCAATAAGACTCACTGCCACTGTGGCTCTAAGGCAGGCGTCCCCAAACTACAGCCCACGGGCCGCATGCGGCCCCCTGAGGCCATTTATCCGGCCCCCCGCTGCACTTCAGGAAGGTGCACCTCTTTCATTGGTGGTCAGTGAGAGGAGCACAGTATGTGGTGGCCCTCCAACGGTCTGAGGCACAGTGAACTGGCCCTCTGTGTAAAAAGTCTGGGGATGCCTGCTCTAAGGCCTACCACCTTCAGAAGTCGACCTGTGGCAAATGTGGCTACCCTACCAAGCACAGGAGAAAGTATAACCAGAGTGCCAAGGCTCAAAGATGAAATGCCAATGGAACTGGTGGAATAAAGCACCTAAAAGTTGCATACGGCAGATTCAAGCATGGATTCTGTGAACCTAAACCCTAAGGGTATCTGTTGCAGCACCCAGGTCATCTTAAGAATTTCAACCATTAGCCTGGCGCGTGGCTCACGCCTGTAATCCCAACACTTTGGGAGGCTTAGGTGGGCAGATCACCTGAGGTCACAAGTTCGAGACCAGCCTGGCCAACATGGAGAAACCCCATCTCTTTTTAAAAATGAGTAAAATTTTTAAAAAATATTTTAAAAAAGAATTTCAACCATTAGTCACACAATAATGTTCTGGGATTTTTTGTTTTTTGATTTTTTTTTTTTTTTTGAGATGGAGTCTTGCTCTTTTGCCAGGCTGGAGTGCAGTGGCACGATCTTGGCTCACTGCAACCTCCATCTCCCGGATTCAAGCTATTCCCCTGCCTCAGCCTCCTGAGTAGCTGGGACTACAGGCGCGTGCCACCACACCCGGCTGATTTTTTGTATTTTAGTAGAGATGGGGTTTCACCATGGCCAGTATGGTCTCGATCTCCTGACATCATGATCTGCCCACTTCGGCCTCCCAAAGTGCTGGGATTACAGGCATGAGCCACTGCGCCCAGCCTGTTTTTTTTTTTATTATTATTATTATCTTTTGAGATAGAATCTCATTCTGTCAGTGAGTTCAGTGGAACAAAGCGATTCTCCTGCCTCAGCTTCCCGAGTTGCTAGGACTACAGGTGCCTACCACCACCCCCAGCCAATTTTTGTATGTTTAGTAGAGACAGGGTTTCACCATGTTGGCCGGGCTGGTCTCAAACTCCTGACCCTATGATCCCCCCCGCCTTGGCCTCCCAAAGTGCTGGGATTACAGGAGTGAGCCACTGCACCTGGCCTCTGTTTTTTAAAAAAATAATAATAATTTAAAAATAATTTCCTCTGGGCACGGTGGCTCAAGCCTGTAATCCCAGCACTTTGGGAGGCTGAGGCAGGTGGATCACGAGGTCAAGAGATCGAGACCATCCCGGTCAACATGGTGAAACCCCATCTCTACTAAAAATACAAAAAATTAGCTGGGCGTGGTGGCGCGTGCCTTTAATCCCAGCTACTCAGGAGGCTGAGGCAGGAGAATTGCCTGAACCCAGGA